GGGAGAGCGTGGAGCGGATTCTACAAGTGGCTTCGATTTGACAGGACCCTGGGGCAGAAGCAGCAAAACGAATGCCTTTGCTCCTGCAGGGCGACTTATCCGTTGGAATCCGGATGTTTTAATTCCTAGTTAGACACCTTCTCAAGCCCGAGGGCTGACCTCAGGCTGTGAAATCCGCCTGTTTTGCGCTAAGGCAAATTGGGGGTGATTTAGGGGTGCGGGGTTTCTGGGTGTTGCTTGTCTTTCGGTCTTGCGAGTGAGGAGGATTTGTTCCGCTTGATCTGGGATATTTAACCCAGGAAACGTCAGCAGGGATGCGAGGAGGCGCCGCTGAAAGCCGACGTGCGGTTGGGGCTGGAGGGAGTCGCTGAGGAGGGACAGGCCGGCACGTCCCCGCTCGGTGTTGACGCGGCGGGTCCGCAGAGCTCCAGTGTCCATTCACTCTTTCTTCTCACCTACGCTGTCAGCGTTTAGCTACAACGCAAAGGGATAAAACCGCTGGGTCCAAATGGGTGTTATGAATTTTTTTGGGGGGGATGGGGGGAGACAGAAGCCTTCACAAATTCTGATTTTGTTTTTTTCGTTTCCAGTTGTTTGGACCTTTAGAAAGTCCGCTTTTTTTCCCCTGTGGGCGCAGTTCTTGCCGGGGCGGCGGGGCGGGTCCGCAGCCGGCCTGACGTGCGCCCTTCCCCGCAGAGAAGCCGGGCACGGCCACGTGCGTGGGCTGCGGGAGTCAGATCCACGACCAGTTCATCCTGCGGGTGTCCCCGGACCTCGAGTGGCACGCCGCCTGCCTCAAGTGTGCCGAGTGCAGCCAGTACCTGGACGAGACGTGCACGTGCTTCGTGAGAGACGGGAAGACCTACTGCAAGCGGGACTACGTCAGGTGAGGCCGCGGGGAGCTGCCCGCGGGGACTGCCGCGCCCACAGCCCCGCGCTGAGTGCCCTCCCCGCGCCCCGCAGGCTGTTCGGCATCAAGTGCGCCAAGTGCCAGGTGGGCTTCAGCAGCAGCGACCTGGTGATGCGGGCGCGGGACAGCGTGTACCACATCGAGTGCTTCCGCTGCTCCGTGTGCAGCCGCCAGCTGCTGCCCGGCGACGAGTTCTCACTGCGGGAGCACGAGCTGCTGTGCCGCGCCGACCACGGCCTCCTTCTGGAGCGCGCGGCGGCCGGCAGCCCGCACAGCCCCGGCCCGCTCCCCACGCGCGGCCTGCATCTGTCAGGTGAGCCGCGCCCGCGAGGGCCCGTGTGTGTGGTTGCCCTGGCACCCAAGTTGTCCCTGCTGTGTGTTTCCGTGGGCGCAGAACCGCGGTGCTGGGGACACGGCCGAGTGTGTTGCGTGCGGGGAAGCCGCCTGTGGGTCCCCGCGAGTTAGGACGGTGCGAGTGTGCGCGCCGCTGGGGCATTTGAGGAGAATGCGTCCTCCGTGGTCAGTACGTGGGACGCGGTGCTAGGAAGAGGGAATGACGACACAGAGCCTGCCTGGGGTGGGAGGGACACAGCTCCCTCCTAGGCCGGGGCGCAGAAGTCCGAACCCCCAACCAAGAGCGGGTGTCTGTGTTTTGAGGCCCAGTTCGATGACCAACTTAGCCAAGTGCTCATCGGTGGGGAGGAGACACAGTGCACTGGGGATCCCAGAAAAACCCCCGCAGGGCGTGCTCTGAGCACTGACCCGGCAGCCCGGAGGTGGCTGGGGTCCCAGGTGCCCGGCGGGTAGCGGTCCCCAGACCAGGCTGCGCCTCTGCTGCTGGGCCACACGGCGACGCCCCTCGCCTCGGGCCCTCCGTGTCCTCCCCTAAGGAACCAGGAAATCGGGCTGGGTGGGCTCTTGCAGATGTCCATCCAGACCTAGACACGCCTGTCCGGGGAGCTGCCCGTGGCCTTGCAGAGCGGGTGCGGACAGGGCGGGAGCCGCTGTCCGGAGCGCCGCGGGCTGGGACCGCACAGGCGCCCTTTTGTTTGTCGCGGGCCGCGCGCGCCTCGGGCCCTGTTTCCCGGGTGGAGAGAACCTGAGGCCTGGCGAAGGCAGTGCTGGTGCCGCCGGGCCGGGGACCCTGGAGCTTGGAGAGAGGAGCCGCGCCCAGGCCGGTCTCGGCGGCCTTGTCCAAGTGGCCACTGAACCGGGTGGGGGGGAGGTCTCTCGCGGAGGGTCAAGCCCCCCATTCCCGCCCCCTCCAGAGCCCCGGGCGTGCCCCCTCTCCCTCCGAAACTCCGACTTCTTCAGGAGGGCGTCCCTGTTCCCAGTCCCGCGGACCCCTGCGGGCAACCGGGGGTCCGGTAAGTGCCGGAGGCTCGGCAGGGAGCGCTCAGTCCGCGCTCCGGGGAGGTCGCTTGCGCGGCAGCCGGGTCGGGGACTCGGGAAGGGACGACAAAGCGCACCGCCCTCCGGGTAGGGCGAACAGACTTTGGAACGGGAGGCGAACGCCGCAACGAAAGGAACGAATGGAAGGGAAACGAAATCGGGCGGCGGCGGGGCCGGCGGCCCCTCGCTCACCCAGCGCCCTGTCCGCGCAGACCCCGGGGCGGGCCGGCAGCCCGCGCTGCGCTCGCACGCGCACAAACAGGCGGAGAAGACGACCCGCGTGCGGACCGTGCTCAACGAGAAGCAGCTGCACACCCTGCGGACCTGCTACGCCGCCAACCCGCGGCCCGACGCGCTCATGAAGGAGCAGCTGGTGGAGATGACCGGCCTGAGCCCGCGGGTCATCCGCGTTTGGTTCCAGAACAAGCGTTGCAAGGACAAGAAGAAATCCATCCTGATGAAGCAGCTGCAGCAGCAGCAGCACAGCGATAAGACGGTAAGGGACCATGGCCCGAGCCGGTGTGTGTGTGTGTGTGTGTGGGGGGAACGGGACTCTCTCCAGATGGCCTGTGTTGGTGCCTTCAGGGCAAGGCTGTCCGTGGGGGCGCAGGGATCCTGAATTATTGCCTCCTGGTCCCAGTGGCACACCTGAGCTGGGGTCCAAGGCACAGCTCGGAGCTCAAGTGGGGCCGGCTGTGTCCCGCCTGCCTCGCGGTCCCTTGCCCTGCGGCTCCCAGCTCTGAGGCTGGCCTGTGGTGGCGGGTTTGCCGGCCCAGGGTGACCTCGCTGGGGAAGGACGGCTCAGCTGTGGGTGCGGTCGAGAGCGCACCTCCCCGAAAACAGCCACAGGCCCCAGCTCCCGCGCTAGTGCCTGGACCCCCGTCTCAAACGTGGCGGGGGAACTCAAGACCTAACTCGAGCGCACCCTACTCCCCCGCTTGTGCTTGTCTTAAAAGAGCCTCCAGGGACTGACGGGGACGCCCCTGGTGGCGGGCAGCCCCATCCGCCACGAGAACGCCGTGCAGGGCAGCGCGGTGGAGGTGCAGACATACCAGCCGCCGTGGAAAGCGCTCAGCGAGTTCGCGCTGCAGAGTGACCTGGACCAACCCGCCTTCCAGCAGCTGGTGAGGCCCCTGCCCGGCCCCGCGCGACCTCAGGGCTCCGGGTGGGATGAGCGATTTCGCCAAGATGCGGGGGGGCGGGGGGAGGGAGGCTTCCCACGGGATCGGCGGCTGGGACAGCCTTAGGCAATCGGTGGGGGTGGGGGGCTGCAAGCGCACCCCAGCCCGCAATTCACTCTAAGCCAGGTCTCCCAGGATTAAAGCGCTCGCAGGAGAGGTCCAGGGATTAACCCGCTCTTAGACGCCTGCGTGCGCGTGGGGGCCTGGCCGGCTTCTCGGAAGGGCTGGCTGCCAGCCGGAGGCTCGTCCCCATGGGGCGCCCCGACTCGCAGCCCCGGCTCGGGCGGGCCGCGGCTTCACCGCTCCTACCTGGCGTCTCCAGGTCTCCTTCTCCGAGTCCGGCTCCCTGGGCAACTCCTCCGGCAGCGACGTGACCTCCTTGTCCTCGCAGCTCCCCGACACGCCCAACAGCATGGTGCCGAGTCCCGTGGAGACGTGAGGGGACCCCCCGGCCCGCGGACCGCGCATGCTCCCTGCATGAGACTCGCCCGTGCTCAGGCCCTGCCAGCTGAACGCTCTCGCCTTTGTAATTGTTATTATTGTTACTTAAAGAGAGAGGTCAGAGGAGCGTCAGGACGGCCGAGCGCGCCAGGACGCACCTGCTTTCCGCCAGGCTGGACGGAGGCGAGCCCTGCTCTGAAGACTCGTTATTTTTCCAGAACTAGAATGTGGGATTTACTAGCGTGGGCTCTGCCCGCTCCTCTCCCCGCGTCCGCGGCCCCGTGGCTGCAGGGGGCCCCCCCGAGGAGCAGACTTCAACCCCCCCCAAAGCGCATGAATGCCGGAAACGGTAGAAACGAGACTTACCTTGAAAATGTTTAAATTATCAGTCGACGGATGACAGAGCGTGTGAACCTTTGCAGAACAAAACGTAAGTTATTGTTATTTATTGGAAGAGCAGCCAGTTCGTGGTGGGACGAATATTTTGATCTTAATAAAAAAA